CACTCACCTGCGGGGACTTTAGTAACTGCTGCAGGCTAAGCCCAGAGCAGCGCCAGCGTCTTGGATGTCAGGAAAACCAAAGCTGAGGGTGCTGCTGCATAATAACTATTGAAACCTTCCCAGCATGCTCTTCTGTCCTGCTGTCATTTTCCTGTGAGGGTAAATCCTGGACTTCCCCAGTGATTCCTAAGAGTAAAGTGCTGTAGACCGAAGCCAAGATACCCCCTCTTAAATCCCAGATTATATGTGTCACTTTCTCCAAGTCTGGTTCCTCTGTATTGCTGCCCTATAGTACACAGCTGTTTAATGTGCAAAAGAACCATCTCCAGAGTGTCATCTGTCAGACTTGCCTACAGCAGCCACGGTTGCCTCGTTTCAGATGCTGCTGGGCCTGTTGCAGATTTACATTGTGTTCGTCTTCAACTCTTATTTTGAAAAGGGGGAATCTGAGAGTGGAACCTGATTCTCACTACCTTTCCCGTCACAGGAAGTGACATCCTCTGACATACTTAAGAGCCACTTAAGAGCTACAGCATTTCACCAGGCAGTGGTGGTGCACACCTCTAATCCCAGCACTTGGAAGGTAGAGGCAGGTAAATCTCTGAGTTCAAGGCCAGCCTGGTCTATGGAGTGAGTTCCAGGACAGCTGGGGTTACAAAAAAATCTTTATAATCTTATGAAAAGTCTATCGGTCTGATGACAATTAGGTCGTAAAAATGCCATACTACAAAGTCAGTTCATTTTATTTTTAATATTCTGTCCATTGTCTACATTTTAACTGTAAGAATGTCCTGCTCTTTACAGTTCAGCATCCTCATTGTTATGATGTCTACAGACTGACTTCTCTTCATATATCCTATTACTGAGCCATAGCAAGAAGACACCAAAGTCACTGTTACAGGCAAATGGACATTCAGTTCTTAGCCATCTAGTTCTGATGTACCTCAACAACAGTGAACCTATCAGTGACCACAAAGCAGACTCAGACACGACAGTTCGATCTTAGCTCCTAGTTACCTTCATAAGGCTAGGCTTCCCACAGAGAAGCCAAATTACACAAGAATACATCCTTACATTTCGGTTTTGCATTCCATCTTCTAATCTCTGCGTTACGTGCTGCAGGGTAACCATGGCATAACAACAAAATTAAATCACACATTTTTGTTCAATTAGTCCCCTGATTAAATACTAAAGTTTCTCTTTGCTGTTTAAATTAAGTGTTGGTTATTTCTGTCTTTGCTGTTCTAGAGCCACTGAAAAATATTCCACCTATCATGCATGTGGCTTATTTACATTTAAACTACTTCAACCCCACCCAAATTCTATTGGCTCCAGAGTATGGACATTTTAATGATCTTGACACATTTCTGAACTATCGCTGTCTTAAAAGAGTATCAATTTACCCTGCTTCCCAAAATACAGGGCCAAATCTGACTTGAACCTTTCCCAATAGAGTTCACAAACACATCCTAATTCCATAACTGCAGAATGCACCCTTCACATGTAAAGCCTATGCCACCAATCACTTTGGAACCTTCACTCCAATCTCTGATTACCTGATATGGCACCAAGGCAGATCGAGGCTGCCTGGATTCAAAGCCTCCCTGACCACGTGGCAGCCCTACAATCCTCAGGCCGTTAGATAATCACTATACTCAATATTCTGACTCCTTGCCTATATACAAACACCGTCCTTACAGGATTTTTCTGAGAGCAATTGTGATGCCCACTGTCTTAGGGTTACTGTTGCTGCGATGAAACACCACAATTTTTAAATGTTTACTGATTTACAATTGTATGTGTGTGAGTGTGTGTGCCAAAGCATGTATGTGGCAGAGGATAACTTGTGGCAGTCAGTTCTCTCCCCCTGCCACATGGGTTATAGGGATTAAAGTTAGATTAGCAAACTTGGTGGCTAGTACCTTTGCTGAACTGTCTTACCAACCCTAACAATTTTTAAAAGACTGCCAAACTAACATTGGCTTATGCAGAAATCTCACGTTCTTAAATTTGTGTCCTTGGGCCTGTCATTCATCACTGGTCAATGCTAGGTGATGTATCACTATTGTTTGTCTTCTGTCTATCTGCATGTGCAGTCTTCGGTTTATTATGTGGATGGATCTGGTTCCTAAAAACGCATATAGAATGTTGCGGTAGTCTCAACACGACTCATGGAAAGTTACTTCCCTCTTTCCTTCTGCTAGTAAGAAATTTCTCTTAGCCAGCCAGGCACTAAATTTACTCTAACGATTATTCATGTCAGTTATTCTTCACACTCCTATTCTCATTCTCTTGAACTCTACACCTTGTTATGGGAAAGGCGTTCGCCCCATCCTCCACTGGATTCATTATCTGCACTGACTTCTATTTGGCTCAACTTCACTTTGATTAATTCATTGGTTGAATGTTACTGAAGTCCCTAATGGTGGCAGAGACTGAGAAACTTTCTTGGTTCTCCCATCTTTGGGGGGATTGTGACATCCCCTGATCTCAGCACATTGCTGTCTTCTTCATTATCTTTAAACGTCTAGGCTTTGCCTGTCACTCACCAGTGTTGCTGGAGATAAACCATGTGGAGTTACAGGTCCAGTGGAGGTAGTCTAGCTGTGCTGACTATGGAACATTTGGGAACATACTGCCCAATGCGAGGTAATCTAGTAACTTATCTCTGAGTCAAGGTTCTTGATCCCATAGGAGATCAGTAGCAATGAAAGGTATGGCGAATCTTCTCGGACTCAACATTCACTACTTCGGCCTGAGAACAGTGCTGTTCCTGTCTACAGCACAGCCGGGGTGGGGGACAAGCTCAAATTCACAGCTATACTCCCTAAGTATGTTGGCTAAGATCATCTCTGATATAGCATGTGTGTGTGGTGGTGGTGGGGGGAGCAGGGGTCCCTGAGCTATGTGTACTTGGCCTACAGTTAATTCTCTACTTCTGCAAAGCCATGATTTCCTCTGGCCAAACATCCAGCTTTCACTTAGACCTAGATATTCTCCAAAGCACATGCCAGTTCTTGAGGCTCAGGTATCATATGCAGCCTTCATGGCTTTCCTTTGCAATGGGGAGAAGGTAGCGATTTGCTCATCCATAATCTCCTTCCTCGACTGGAACCTTTTTTCTTCCCTTCTAAAACAGAGTCTCACTGTGTAGCCCAGGTCATCCTTGAACTTGTGACCTTGAGTGATGAGATTGCAGATGACTGTTCCCACATCAGTGTAAGCTCTGTTTGGAGGTCAGTCTTTGACCCTTAAAGCTGTCTGAACTGCGGGAGCAGCTGGAGAGCCCCCAGTGGGTTGTGAACATATTCTCGTTACTCCCATAAGTCTCAGGAGCAAAATACAAGGGAAATGCTGTGCCATTCACAGTCCACTGCCCTGAAGCATCTGAGTCGGACCTAGAAGAATTAAACATGCAGACAGGAGTAAAAAGCAGCAGCCCCGACACTCCAGCTAAAAATACTGCACCTATGATGTTACATAAGCACCGAAAGTGATAAGGTAGACAATTTGATTCTTTGCTTTCCTTTTTAGTAAGATATATAGAATATATTATGAGAAAAAAAAACTTAGACTTAAAAAAGTCTATAAACTGCCAGAGAGCATCTGCCACAAAATCAGAATAAATGACAGACAAGGCCCACACACTTCCATTGGTGTGTACGTATGCATACCTATATATAGAAACCATTCAAAGTCCACCTTTGTATGTAGTAGACATGTACACATTAAATATGTGGATTCAACACCAGAAGACTACTTTCTGTCTGCTGTTTTGAGAAACATATAGGTAGGCCATTTACACACATTCCCATTTTAATAGGCACTTAGCAGTATTTTTAATGACAAGAAAGTTTAACAATTCAAAACTATTGATAAAGTACTAGTAATGATAAGAGTACTAGTAGTAAGGTAGCCATTCATTGGCTGCTTTCTGTGAATGTTCTTCTTCCTTAATGATGCCAGGGAACAAAGCCAGGGCCTTGCTCATGCTAATTTTCAAACAGAGGCTAAGTTGCCCACACTGGGTTAAACTCAAAATCGTCCTGCTTCAGCCTCCAGAACAGCTGAGTTATAGACGAGTACCAACAAATGCTGTGGATGTTTGTCCCCAGGTTAACTGTGGGTCTGAGTGGGGTCTTCTGAGTCTTTCCTGAACAGTTGCAGCCAATCCTGAAGGTGTGGTTTATGGGCATGGGGGTGTGTACCTGTAATTTCAGCAGCTGGAGTCTGGGCCAGGAGAGCGGCAGGTCTGAAATCTGTCTGGGCCACAGTGAAATCTCGTCTGCAAACAAAACCAAAGCAGTATCGAGGGAATCTCAAGGACCTGGGGACAAAAATGGTCAAGCGTGTACAACAAAGAGGAGGCTTGATGGGGAAGAACGTGGACAGAATTTTATCTTTAAAATTTTAAATTCACTAGTGACATGTTTTTAGCATATTTAAAAAATATATTTTTTATTCTAAAGGGACTTTTTTTTCTTTTTAAGGTTAAAAAACAATACTTTAGACAAAGGTTGTTGGACCTGAAGCCTCAAGATACCACACTCTTTGTTTATAAAGTGTTTTAAAACCACAACTTGCTGGGGGTGGTGGCAGACGCCTTTAATCTCAACAGTCAGGAGACAGAGGCAATTGGATCTTTGTGAGTTCAAGGCCAATGTGGTCTACACAGTGAGCTCCAAGACAGCCAGAGCTATGTAGAGACACCCTATTTCAAAAAATACCACCCCCACCCTCACCAAAAAAAAAATCTACAACTTAAGCCTCATTCCACAAAACAGGAAACCAAACACGTTATGTTCTAATATATCTATATCTATATACATATATACATATAGATAGATAGATAGATAGATAGATAGATAGATAGATAGATAGATA